TATTTGCATGTAGATGTGTTCAGGGTAGGACTCTTATCAAATGTGTAAAATTTGGTACAGATCTGAGATAAAGTACTATTACAACAACTTCCTGTGCGATGGTGAAGCATGGAACTTGGCCTCCGTTAACCAAAAACTCACAAAATTTACAATATGGCTTCATCAATGCGTTAAGGGTTTTCTGGAACAGTTTCGAAGTTGATATGAGCACCCTGGCTAGGAGTAGTCCATCATAAAGAAAAACGTGACATTTCCCATTGCCAACAGGTGGCGCTATGAGTGAATGTTGGAATATGGATGTGTTCAGGGTGGGAGTATTATCATGTCAAATGTGGTACAGATGTGAGCATGTACGCTAAAGTTACAACAACTTCCTGTTGTGTGGCGAATTGTCAATTTTCGACGGTTCGCAACGGGCAGGCTATTGGACGAAACGGGCAGGCTATTGGACGAAAACTCAGCTTTTGTACAACTTTTAATCGTCAATGGATTTAGACCACACAGTGAAAATTTGCAGTTGATCGGACTCATTTTTTGTACGTCTGGACATGATACATGTACCACAAAAATTTAGGTGAAACTTTGGCTGGGAGCTGCTCTGTAGGGGGCGCTACCGAGCCATTTTGCCACATCTATGTTCGAGACCCATAAAATACAAAAATGTTCGACCTGCCGGATGTGTGTGCAAAGTTTGGTGAGTTTTTGAGCATGTTTAGGCCCCCAAAATTGTGTTTCATATGCAGAAAAAAGAAAAAAGACGTTTTCTTTATTTCCAATAGGGACCTCGCATGTTAAATACACGTGGGAGAGGTTTCACTCAGTGGTAACTTGACAGTCCACGTGAGAAGAACCCACACTGGTGAGAAGATGTACCTTTGCAAGATCTGTGGGAAAAGATTGTGTGACATATCAGTATTAAAAAGGCATATGAGATTGCATACAGCCAAGTAGCCCTGTATTTGCAAAATATGGAGATTCATTTCTAGTGGTTTGTGGTCAAAGCACACACAAACTTGCAGAAGTGAGGAGGCACATAATAATAGCACTTTTGGGAAAAGACATACATAAAATACATTCTTGACAAAACACCTGAGGATCAATGTACACAAGAGAAACCATAGAGCTGTAACTTCTGTGAAGATTTATAAACCTGAATGAAAGGTAAATGTCACTATTAAACGTACTAAATCCACTTTTTTAAAGGTTTAAAGCTAGGCAAGCAATTTATTTAGAAGCATTTTTTGTTATATTATATAATTATATATTTGTTGAAATTCTTACTAGAGAGAGAAACCCTCTCTCTAGTGGTGCTGTGTAACCTTTGTTGTCATCCTGTCAACTAGAGTATTTTCTTTTTTGTCTGCAGCATGTAATTTGATTTCATGCTTTTATGTATTTTGTAACACAGTATATGTAATGCTCCATATTTGTATAGTGCCTTTCTAGTCTTTTCAACCACTCATCTGCATTCACCATCCATTCACTGAACTTAGCTATACATTAGCTATACACTAAGTGCTCAAACAGAAACTAACATTCACACACATTCATACACTCGCGGAACAGCCGCAATTCAGGGTTCAGTATCTTGCACAAGGACACTTTGACTGGGAGCCAGGATTGAACTGCCAACCTTCCGATTAACGGCCAACCTGCTCTACCTCCTGAGCCACCATCACAGATGAAATACTACATGGTCAATTAAAAATACTTTTTTACATGCCAGTTATTCAGACCAATTTTCCCCCAACTCGATGGATCTGAGGAACATGTTAACTTCAAGCAATAAAAACCCCAGTGCTTGTAGTGCATACTATGATTAGTGCCTAAAGGAACGTCTTCACTGAAATGCTGTAGTCATAGTAAAGAATCGCTCTGTTCAGAGAGTATAAGTTATAGTTTGATTTCATATAATTTTATGATTTCCTCTCAAATATAGTAAAGTAGAATTATATGTAACATAAAAGTGAAACTAATCAAAATAAACATTCGTGAAATTTATTGATTGATTTGATTTATATCTGTGTGGAGTGTACATGGCCATCTGAGGACAATTAATGTTAAGTACACTACTTAATAAAAGTAGTAAAAGAATAAATGTAGTTACATTATAACACTGCAGATATGCTTGTTCAGTATGAGGTAGTTACACTGATCAAACTACCAAACGGTATCAAATCGTACTTGAACATTAAAATACCTCTTGCAAGTTAAAACTTGACACTGAACAAAATATAACTATAACTACAGCAATAACTACAGCATTTCATTACAGATTTTCCTTTAGGCTCTAATTACAGTATGCACTACTAGCACTGTGTATCTTCATTAAGAATAGCTTTAACTGCTCACATCAAGGTACTTCAGCTGATTTGACAGTTATGTTGATGATTTCATTATGTCTTTTTTCTGTGCAGAACAGTTAACTATTTCCATCATAAATAGTACAGTCATTCATTCTCACTATCAGAGTTTTGTCCAGTTTTTCCTTTTTATTTTATAGTTACTGTATTACTGACTTAATTTTAATGAATTCTGATCACTTTTACTAATCTTTATTGCTACTGTTTACTACTATTTGGCGTCTGATTGCTCTTATTGGTATGATATTGATAAGGTTTCTGAAAAAAAAAAATATAAATAAATCATGGACAAGTATTCGAAGCTGTCTTATTAACTGAGAAACCCTTTCTCTGGTGAGACACTATCAAAAAATTTTCCTGTTGTACAATATGATGTTCTTAAATAATTTTGTTAACAATGAATACATATATTTTCATTTCCAGTTGTTCAGACTGATGTTCCCAAATAGATGGATTTAATTTAAATTTACACTGAAGGCATTAAGCATTGTCAGACGCTTTTGTCCAAAGCGAGTGACAATAGGTACATTGGTCAGAATAAAGTGAAAAAGCAATAGATCGCTGTCGGTAGAGTAAGGATGTCAAAAGAACAAGATTCCAGCACTCATAAATGGTAGGTTAGCCTAGTGTTGTAGTACTCGAGACCGGTCTTTGTCTAATGACCGGTCTTAAGATCACATATTGATGGTCTTGGTCTTGTCTCGGTCTCGGACATTGAGGACTTGGGATTTTATTTCAAGACCAGTCAAGACCATAACTTTGGTAATATCAATAAACTGCTTTTGCATAGTCTGATTTGTTCACATCCTAACTTCAATTGGAAGTAAAACATAGCTTCAAATGCAACCAATAACCCTAATTAATGACTGTCACCCGTCCCTGCGATGCTTACGTTGATTTCAGCTCTTAGTGTTTGTATGTGGGTGTTTTAATGGGAATGTGGAACTTTCAGACTTACCTATGATCTCGTTCCACATTTTATTGCGTGCCATGCAATGCAGGGAACTGGTCTTGGTCTTGACTCGGTCTCGCCCTCCCTCGGTCTTGGTCTCGACTGCTCTCAGCCCCTAAAAGTCTTGGTCTTGTCTCGATTTGGGCGGTCTTGACTACAACACTAGGTCAGCCATTGTTGGTAGACAGCAAAGATAGCTAGGCTAAGTAGCCTGTATTTATTAATATACAAGTGCATAAGGGGGTGTTTAGATTGGAGTGTTATGTGAACTACAAGCAATAAAAACCCAACTGCTAGTAGTGTATACTATACTAATTGTGCCAAAACGAACATCTGTAATTAAATGCTGTTGTTGGATCTCATGTCTAATAACGTCAGAATACCAGATGTGTTTTAATGTTGCAGCCCACCGGCTGGAGGTTAAGGTAAAGTAGGGTTTTGATCGGTTGAGCTGCCTCATATTGAACAGGCATTATATTCAGTGGTGCTGTACTTGTACAACATTGAATGTCCTGATGGCCAAGACCACATGTAAATGTAAACACTTCCAATAAAGAAAAATCAATTTTGAGATATTTGTTTAATAACTTTCATTTTGTGTTACATATAATTATACTTTACTACATTTCACAGGATAATTTGGTACTTTTTTGTACACTGCATTTATTTGACAGCTACAGTTACTTCCGATTAAGAGTTTACATACAAAAGATATTAAATAGCTTATTAAACCTGATGCCTTCTTAAACCATCATTTAGTATGGGAACTAGGTAAAAAAATAAAACTTCACCTAAACTAACTGCTACCAAATATTTAGTTCCTAGGCCAGCTGAGACATATAATCCCCCCAGCATGTTCTGGATCTATCCCGGGGAATACTACCAGTCGGATGTGCCCAGAAAGGTGCTCAGGAGGAATTTACTGTAAAGCACTGTCAGATGCATTTTTTTTTACGAAAGGTGCTTTACAAACAAAAGTATTATTATTATTATTATATGCCCGAACAACCTCAACTGGCTCCTTTTGACGCAATGGAGGAGTGACAGTTCTCAGAGTTCCCATCTTACTCTGTCTGCAAGGGTGCCACAGTACGGAGGAAACTCATTTTGGCTGATTGTACCAGCAATCTCATTCTTTCGGTTAGTACCCACAGCCAGGATGTAATCTACATTGCTTCTCTTGGATCGGAGTTTCCTTTCCAACACCCTGAAATAAACACTGTCTTGGAGGTTGAGCAGTGTGAACCCTGATAATTGGAGCAACCACCAGTCCCCATTTTTAAAAATGGGAACCACCACACTGGTCTGCCACTCCTCAAATACTTCAAACAATATCCTTTCAATGTAGGCTATACAGAGTTTTGCATCACTATTTTCTTTAATAACACATCTATATGATAAATTAAAGTGTTTATAAAAATACAACTTTTAAAGCAATTAAAACAGGTTATGTTAGATTAATAAGGCTCACCAATAATCTCTTCCTGAAGTGGTGTTGTACCGTACTGTCTAACTATAGCTGTAATACAAATGTTTTTGAGGTAATTTCGTTATACAACCTTGTGTTGTATAATGGCAAATGAACACTGTTGTGCCTTGTGAAAGGTGGTACAGTAGATCAGTCTGTCAGTCTTTTGAAGAGATTGCACACTAGAACTACCGACAAAAACCACAAGACACTGATATTGAAATGTTTACATTTATGACATTGGGCAAATGCTCTCATACACATCACATGATTAGTGTTCACTCACTTTGAAAAGATTCCCAAGATATACAAGACTGATTGTTTTTGAGAAATGGTGCTGCTCAAACATGCTGTAATGTATGAAAATAGACGCACCTATTGCAAAACTGCACACATCTTTTCACTGAACTGAAACCTCTTCCACACATTTTGCAAGAAGTCACCTGTGTGACTTCTCAGGTGTCTCTGCAATTTTAACTTGTACTTAAAAGCTTAAAAAACTTTTTATCTGTGGGAGTAGCCTATTAGAGGTAATCTTTAACATGGTAGTTACATAGTGAGACTTTGGAACTGCGTTTCTAGTTTATAAAGAGTGTCCATGCTATTCTTTAAAATTAATTGGCATTAAACAGCAACTAATTTGACAATTGTTTTAAGGAATTTATAAAGCAAAGACAGCAAAACATGACTTTCATTCTGTCAAACGCGCAAGTGGTGTATAAAAACAGCAAAAAGAAGGCACATTAAAACGTAATAGGACTACAGTAAAAGTGATGCCAGTTATTCTCAAATGTAAAACCTGGCTTCTTGCAAAGATGTGTAGGAAGCTTCATAGAAAACGATCTAATACTACTTGAGGTACAAAGATTTTAAAGGGATAGTAAATGATTGTAATCAAATACAAAACAAAACACTTTTTGTTAAATTCAGCAAATATTTCCTCACGGTTCGCTAGCTCTCCGTTTTGTGTCTGCTCTGAAAGAAAAATCCGCTTTTCCTACACAGCCCTGGCTCTGTAAATGGGGAAAAAAATAAAGTTGTGTGGACACACAACATTGTTTCAGCCAATCAGCAAAAGGTGGCATTAGAGCTTGTGCACAAGAATAATAAGGGGAGGAGGGCAGTGGGAGAGAGTTCTTTACGCCATCACATTCAAACGGACTCATGACTAGGCAAGGCCAGAGGCGAATCAACGCTGGAGAAAACTCAGATTTGAAATTTTGGGGACTTAGCTTCAGAGGGAGTACCGAAGGGATGGATGCATTTCTTTGGCAGTTGAGCTCAAATAACAACCCTTCTGCAGAACCAGTTACTCTCCCTTTAAGTCCATGTAACCTTTAAAAAAAAAAAAAAGTCAGAGCAAATTCATAAATAGACATTTGTCAAAACCAACGACAATCAAGATCACAACATTACTTTAACAGCCACTACTGTTCACTCACTCTGAAACTTCTCTTTATTTGATCTGGGAGATTATGGTTGTTTCAAAGAAATAATGCTGCAAATGGAAATATAACTAACACAATCACATGAAGGAAAAACACAAGGTTAGTTTAACAAAACATGATGTCATTGACAGTGTACTACTTCAATACACTAAGATATTCTGACCTTGTCAATATGAAATTGTATACATTCATTTACAGAGATGTAGAGACGAATATAAGGTGTATAACATTCAGTAGATGAACACGTCTCTACAGCAGTTTCAGCTCAATGGTTTCTCCTTTGTACACTGACTTGCAGGGGTCATAAGATTTTAGTAAAATCTTTTCCATAAGTGCTCCAATGATGTGGCTTCTTCTTTGAGTTCTTGTTTGATCTGACCATGAACCGCTAGAACTGAATCGTTTCCCCACATACAGTGCTTCACTTTTTCCAACATTTTGTTATGTTACAACTTTAGATGAAATTTATTATTTTCCCCAAAATTCTGCAATGACAACATAAAAGAAGTTTGCTTGGAAGCTTTGCAAATTTATTAAAAATAAAAAAGCACATTTAAATAAGTATTCACAGGCTTTGCTCAATACTTTGTTGAAGCACCTTTGACACCAATTACATCATCAAATCTTTTTCACTATGATGCTACAAGCTCGGCACACCTATCTTCGGGCAGTTTCTCTTCTTTGCAGGACCTCTCAAGCTCAATCAAGTTGGATGGGAAGTGTCAGTGCACAGCCATTTTCAGATCTCTCCAGAGATGTTCAATCGGGTTAACTCTGGGCTCAGGCTGGGCCACTCAGACATTCAGAGTTGTCTGAGGTCCGGAGCACTCTGAAGCAGGATTTTATTAAGGATGTCTCTGTACATTGCTGCATTCCTCTTTACCTCGATCCTGACTAGTCTCCCAGTTCCTGCCGCTGAAAAACATCCCTACAGTATGATGCTGCCACCACCATGCTTCACTGATGGGATGGTACTGGCCAGGTGATGAGCGGTGCCCGTTTCCTCCAGATGTGGCGCTTGCCATTCAGACCAAAGACTTTAATCTTTGTTTCATCAGACAGGGCTGTCGCCTTTTACTGAGTAGCTTCCGTCTGGCCACACTACCGCACAGGCCTAACTGGTGGAGTGCTGCAGAAACGGATGTTCTTCTGGAAAGTTCTCCTCTCTCCACAGAGACACGCTTGAGCTCTGTCAGAATGACCGTCGGGTTCTTGGTCACCTCCCTGACTAAGGCCCTTCTCCCCCGATCGCTCAGATTGGGTGGGTAGAAAGAGGTGGTTCCAGACTTCTTCCAATTACAGATGATTGAGGCCGCTGGGACCTTCAATGCCTCAGAAATCTTCCTGTACCCTTTCCCAGATCTGTACCTCGATACAGACCTGAGGTCTACAGACAATTACTTGGACTTGATGGTTGGTTTGTGCTCTGACATGCACTGTTAACTGTGGGACCTTATATAGACAGATGTGTGCCTTTCCAAATCATGTCCAATCAACTGAATTTACCACAGGTGTACTCCAATCAAGGATGATCAGTGGAAACAGGATGCACCTGAGCTCAATTTTGAGTGTCATGGCAAAGGCTGTGAATACTCGTGCTTCTTTTTATTTTCAATACATTTGCACATTGTCATTATGGGGTATTGTTTGTAGAATTTTGAGGGAAAAAATTAATTTTGTCCATTTTGGAATAAAATGTGGAAAAGGTAAAGCGCTGTGAATACTTTCTGGATACACTGTATTTTGCAAATCCAAAACTATTTGGCTGTATGTGATCTTACATGCTTTGTCAATTCAGACGCATCAACATATCTTTTCCCGCAGATCTTGCAAACGTACGGCTTCTCACCAGTGTGGGCTCTTCTCGTGTGCACTGTCAAAGCACAGCTAACTCTGAAGGCTCTCCCACATATTTTGCACAAATATGGCTTCTCACCTGTGTGGATTCTTGTATGCCTTTTCAGTGCTGAAATGTCAATGAATCTTCTCCCGCAGGTCTTGCAAATGTAAGGCTTCTCACCTGTGTGGGTTCTCATGTGGACTTTCAAGACTTCGCTAAGTCGGAAATCTTTCCCACATGTTTTGCAAGAATATGGCTTCTCACCCGTGTGAAGTCTTATATGAGTCTTCAATTCTGATGTCTTACTGAATCTTTTTCCACAGCTATTGCAAGAATATGGCTTCTCACCCGTGTGGCATCTCACATGTCTCTGCAATGTTGACCTATACTTAAAATCTTTTCCACAAAAGTCACATTGTAAAAACTTTTTACCTGGGTGAGTATTATAGTGAATGTCTGACATGGTAGAGGTGTATACATTGTTACTGTGATGTTGATTATTTGCGTCTGGCTCTGCATCTCTAGTTGATCCTGAGTCTTCATACTTGAATCTTTTCTGATCTTGGCTCTCAGCTACATAAGCGTTGTGAGTGAGGAGCTGGTGGTCTCTGTTTGGTTCTCGTTCTCTGTGGTCACTTTCCTCATAAGTAGGAGTCAACATAAAGGCATCAGTCTCCTGCTTCAGTACCAGCTGCTCTCCCTCCTGACTGGTGCAGAGTTCCTCCTGTTCCTCTTTAATCTGTGGAGGCTCTGGGTCCTCCTGGTCCAGACTGGAGTTCCTCTCCTGAACACAGAGCTGCTGGTCAGCGAGAACCTCCTCCTCTGTACAGATATGTTGCTGTGGGAGCTCTGGAGGGACAGAGAACAAAACAAACATGATACTACTGTGGTGGTAAGGAAAGACGTGGAGAACCTCCAAAGAGGTTTTAGCTGGTGCCAAAGTAAAATCACCAGTGCCAAAATGATGAGAATTGAGAATAAAAATAGCAATTCAACTCGTCTCTGAATGTGTCTGATAGCAATTTATCAAACAACTTTTGAACAAGCAGAACTTAAACATGTCTTTGACTTCCAGCAGCCAACACCCCTCTCATCCACAGCCACTATATTTTACATTTGTGGTTGGAACTGGATAAGCCAGGCTCCACTGTGAAGCTTACACTAATGTGAGCGAGAACTTCCTGTGATTTCTCATAAAATAAAAGCGCAGACTAAGGATAAACGTAAACACAGTAAGATTGTAATTGACGTGGGTGGTAACGACTCCCCATTACGCCAATCAAAAGTCAAAAAATTTATGCTGAGTCAGAGTGTACATATGCAAACAAAATCTCTGAATCCCTGCCAAATCTGAACAGTGATGTTTAGCCGCATGTTATCATTCCATCGCTGGCCGTCGAGGTGGAGTCCAGCAAATGACGTGCTTTGTCGATAATTGGCCTGGTCTGATTATGAAAGATGGCATTCATCCTACTTTGGATGAAGCAGTTCATGGTTCAGTTCTCACCTCTAGAATTTCCATAATCGCATCTCTGCGCTTCCATTACAGCAGTTACCAACCCAAAACCCCATAGTGATAGTATCTGCCTCCCAACAACTTAAATGAACACCACCGCTGCAATAGAACAACAAAAACATTGACAATGACGGCGTTTATTTCATTATTAGATTTGATTAGCTTCTGTCAGGGTGTTCATAAAGCCACTCACTGTTTTAACCACACCCTCAATCGTGTTTTGGCATTTGACTAATTAAAATTAAAACTTTGATTAAAATTGAACTTTTAATAGCCTTTCCACAGAACCCTTTTTTAAATCCGACCACTTTTTAATTAGGTTACGAAGTTCCTGTTGTGACTGTTCTCTGACTGGTTAGTCCATGAGTTTGGGTTGTACAGTGATATGAGGTACAGAGCTGTACACATTTAATCAATGGAATAATCGGTATATTTCTCCAGTATTATTTTTTTTTATTATTCCATATTCTTATATGTATATTTGTGTATGTATACGTAGTATTTAAAAGCCTTATTCTCACCTACAAAGCCCTTAATGGTCAGGTACCATCTTATCTTAAAGAGCTCATAGTACCTTATTACCCCACCCTGAGCCAGATCTACCATATGGGCAATCTGGGCCCGTGCCCCGGGGGCCCCTAGGGGTACTAAGCCGCCCTTGACCCCACCAGAACACTGTGTTCCCAGGATGCAGGGTAACTTGTGGTTCCTATAGTCTCTAAAAATACAATGGGAGCCAGAGCCTTCAGCTATCAAGCTCCTCTCCTGTGGAATCAGGAGGAGGCAGACACCATCTTCATATTTAAGAGGAGGCTCAACTTTCCTCTTTGATAAAACTTATAGGTAAAGGCTGGCTCAGGTGAGTCCTGAACCATCCTTTGGTTGTGCTGTTGTAGACTTAAACTGCCAGGAGACTTCCCATGCACTGAGTGTATCTCTCCTCTGAATGCATTCTTATCCCATTAATGCATGTTACTAACTAGACATCTTCCCTCTCTGTAGTTGTTTTTTCTCGTCTCTCCTTCTGTCGCTGTCAGCATGTATTTCTGCCCCATAGAGCTGAGTCCAGATCTATGATTTCAAGCCATGTTCCTGCTCGACACCTGCTGCTAAAATGATTATGTATTTTTATTATTAGACTATTGTTATCATTATTATTCAAACATTTTAATATTAAAATTATTATCACAACCATTACTACTATTACCTTACATTTTATGTGTTCTCTGTGTTGTACTCTCTCTCTCCCACCCCCCAACCGGTGAGGCAAATGGCAATGGCAATGGCTGCCTACCCTGAGTTGTTTTTTTTTATAGGAAAGCATACAGATGGCTTATGTTCAAGTGGGAGTCGACAAACTGTGCAGCAGTTCTTCTTGCCTGTAGAAATTACCGAATGAAAGGAAACAATTGTTTAAAGAGCTGTCCGATTTGGGAGCGTATTCTTGTCAATGCTGCTTTCTTTTGGGAGATTAGCTAATTGGGTAGGCTCACTGATGGACCACTTCTACAAGCAGTCACTGAGTCCATCCTCCATCACCATCTGGTCCTCTGCTGCCACTGCCAAGGACAAGGGCACGCTGCCATCTACCACCCTTCAGGACCTGCATGCGCCTCCAGGACTCTGAGGCGAGCAAGAAAGATTGTAGCCGACCCCTCCCATCCCGGACACCAACTGTGTCAGACACTCCCCTCCAGCAGGAGGCTGCGGTCCATCACGACCATCTTTCCGTCTGTAACCAACCTCATCAACATGGCAGGGACCCCCACTGTCACTGACTTTCATAGCCCCCTAACTGCAGAAACTGCCATATTGGACATCCTCATTATTCTTTTATATACTGTTTATATCTTGTCAGTAGGCATATATTTTATGTGTATTGCTGTGTGCACAAAGTAACCAAAGCAAATTCATTATGTGTGAGCCTACGTTGCAATAAAACTCATTCTTTACTGTGCGCAGACCGATCATTACAGTCGAGGCCCATTCTGAGCCAGGAAACCCCCTGAATTTAGTCAGAATCTTTTAAACAATTTGGATTATATATATATATATTAATCGAATTCCTCTGTTTTGTGTTAGTCGACTAATGACGTTTTGCTCACCTGTCCTGTGTAACTTTATTTCGGGTTTCCAAGCGATATCCAGCAGTCTGCGCTGACGGTCGATCTCTTCTTCGTACTCAAGGACAGTTTTTCTAAAAACTCCGAATATTTCCTCAGCAGCTGCAGTTAGTCGCTCGTTCACAAACTCTCTCAGATACTCAACTGAAGACATTGTTGCTTAATTACAAATGAAATACTTCTCTGCGATACGGTCTTCTTCCAGCTAATTCAACGCTTGAGTGCAGCTAACACTGTAGTCTGGAGTCTGGCTGTTGTTCCTCTTCTTTCGGAATTTTATTGAAGGTTGGCAAACAACGAATTGGTGCATTACCGCCACCAACTGGTGTGTGGATCAGAACATTTATATATGCCTAATAACTAATTTCCTCTCACAAATATTAGTTCATCTAAGACACTGAAATAAGAATCGTTAACTCTCATCTCAACATCTATTCAAGATCAAAGTATACTTTCATGAGGTTTTGAGTCAGCTGCCTTCTCTTATATCCTCATTTCTGACTGTGTAACACAGGATTTCTTCTAGCCCACTATAATCACAACTGCCTGAATTGTGTTTACCTATTTTTAATAATGTACTATTTAGTCCAGTTTGTCCAAATCTAAGTCTTGATGTGATTGTTTCATTTCTCCTTTCCCTGCTCATCTCATTTCTCCCACTTTTATTTAAACGATTGTCCTTTCCTCTCTTCCTCCCATTGCTTTTTGCCACCTTTCCTTCAATCTGTTTTAAAATGCTCGTTTTCTATCTCTGTCTTACTGAAGCTAACAGCCACAGTGTAGTCAGTGGGACAGAAAAACCAATGCTATTTATTCAAAACTTGTGTGTTTAGTATCAGTAGCATGGATAGGAGAGGGTCAAGGAGATGCAACTGCAAGAGCTGGCAAAGTGTCAGGATATCTTTTAACAGTTCCATTAATTTTACTTGCATGTTAAAATTAGGCAAAGGTTAGGGGAATTAGGGAAAAGGGTCCTATGATTGTGGGAAGCATCACTGTTTACGGTGAATATCAATGAGCCACATGAGAGCAGTAAGGATATAGGGCTGAGACTGAAGGTGTGGTTTTAAATACCACCTAACATCTGGAAGACATTACCTGTTAAGGAGCACACATCACCTGCAGGTAGACACAGTAACATACACAGTATCCAATATTTCACGGAATTGTTAAAAACGATGTTAAAGGGTTCCTAATGTTACCAAAATGTATATTGATTACAGAGTTTTTTAATGATTTAAAGAAACGTTGGGCCAGATTGTTTTGGGATGAAATACGGTTCAATCACAAATATTTTGATGTTTGTATTACTTTTTAAATGAAGTGGTGCAGTTGTCAGCAGGCAGGCAGAACTCAGCACAACCAAAAACAGTAATGGACCGTTTTACCAGCAGTTGACATCTCACGAGAACAGCCTTCGCTCACGCAGCTTTCAGAGACTTTAGCTCACTGAGTCACATTTAGTCAATTAACTGTTCATGGATAAACTTTGTTTTTTAGTTTTTTCAAAACTGCAAATCAAATTGCTATACTGCTATATTTTAGGGGGTTAAATAAAAAAAAAAAATACAAAAGAAACCGAACCAAAAAAAGCCTCTGAGAACATTCAGAGGACATTCTTAAAGTTAAAGGTTGCAAACACTTTCAGGGAACGCTCCAGGAAGATTAACTGCTTGCTGGGTTTAACTGCCAAGTGTAGTAGACTAGGGAGTACGATATTTACCTGAAAAATGTATTAATGCAGAATTATATGTAACATAAAATTAAACTACTCAAAGCAGAAGCACCTCAAAATAGATTTAATATGTTCAAGATTTCCCATCTGTGTGAAATTTACATGCAATCTTAACTATGTAAGGACAGTCAATGTTGTAAGTACAGTACTTATAAGTACAGTACATATATGCAGTGGTACTGTACTTACAGTACCACTGCATATACACTTTTTCAATATGAGACACTTCCAGTGATCAAACTATAAAACGGTATCATATCATACTTTATCCTTCCGAGCTTTGATTCTGTGTGCATTTTTTTATTTCTATTACCTATTTGGGATTAGTAGAATCTGATGAGCATAAATAACTAAGCATTGACTTTGTAGAGGAAGTACTTTTAAGGAAAAAAAAAGATGTCCTCGTATGGGGACATTGGGATTGTTTTACTACATAACACACTAAAGTCACCAATATGTAACAACGTGGAAAACTGTTTATTTCAACAGAAACATGTCTTTCATCAGAACAGAACACGGCTGTGCAAATTTTCAAACTGTGTGTGTGTGTGTGTGTGTGTGTGTGTGTGTGTATTTTAATGCCTAAACTTGGCTGTGCAAAAACAATGTGATTCATCAATTCAGTTCACACCTGTTCTGTGTGAAATGCTGCAAAGCAGTTGCGCTCCGTTTGCAAACACAGGAAGACATTGCAGGTCACACACCGCACTCGCGATTTCCCCGAGCAGCCCTTTTCTCTGCAGCGCATTGGGTTTCTCAGGTTCACCATCTCTGGCAGATGACACGCAGAGGTTGTGCGGGAGGAGATGTGGCGTACAGGAGTGACCTGTCTGCGAGGTCCTTGTTGTGGCGGGGTGGTGCTGAGGTGTGCATGCTCTATCAGTACATGTTGACCATCAGAGTTGCACTTGCTCAGATATGCCTGAGCCACTGTCATGCGAAACTCCAGGAACTGCATGATGCCCTTTCTTGGTGTACCTATATCAATGTTGTCCTGCCGGTACAAAAGCCAACTATTGGCTAAGGCAAGGTCCGTGAAGTGCATTAGCATCCTCACTGTCTACTTCTTTGTTTGTACACTCATATGGTAATAGCTCATCATTCGGTCTCTCAAGTCAAGCCCACCCATCTTGGAACTGTACTCTCTCACAATACTCGGCCGTGTGACATTCACATACTGTTTGTCCATCTTGGACCATCGCTGGCAGGTGTCTTTAGGTTCTTCGGCATGAACAGTAGAAACCATCAGAACGGGCTTGATGTCGTACCACTTTACCACACATACCTTCCCATCCCCCCTGGTGACTGATGCTGAGGTACCTCTCCCTTGCAGTTTCATATCTTTGTCAGATGGTAACTTCACCTGTGCTTCGGAGACCCTGTTCTTCAGCACCATACCAGTTAGGTACAATTGCTTGTCTAGCATCTGATCCACAGCCTTCATGGTCGTAGAATACAGTTTCTCACCTGTGTGGATGCTCTGGTATCTCTGTAATTTTGACTGAAACTTAAGAGCTTTCCCACATGTCACGTTTCAAAGACTTTTTCCATGAGCACATATTACAGTGAATATTTGCCATCGTGCAGTTACAGACATTGTTAGTGTGACTATGGTATGTTTGAACTTCTCTGTGGCTTTTGGTTCTGCCCTTCTAGTTGATACATTATTAATCATATTCTTTAAAATGAACTGGCCTTAACTGACAACTGTTCTGAAATTTAATTCATCTTTTATCAAGAAAATATTTAGCTTTTAGTCAGCTGATCAGTGAAAGGGAGATACTTTTATCTTAGATCCTATGAAGTTGAAATCAATCAGGCAGAATTTGAATTTTAGTTAAAGCTGTTTTATTTACTTACATGGTCAGACCCAGAGCAGAACCGAAGTACCACCCAGAATCTGACCCGAGATATAGACCCAGATATATAGTATGGAGTCAAGTAACTCCACATAGGTACACAGCATTCTTTGTATGGTTTGAAAGACATAGTCTACGTGATACTAAATGTTCTTCTCCTGCCTTTCCACCAGTTCACCAGAAGAACCTTCAGGTCCATCCATACAATTCGGTGAAAAACACATACATGGTCCCAAGGTTACACAAACGTATAAAATATATTAAATTATAGTGGTCAACTGATTTGGCTGCTCACTGGCTGCTTTATCTCAGCTGCAGATATTTAGAGAGCAGGGCGGTTGATAATGTCAAAATCTAAACAAAGAAAAGTCATGTATAATTACATTATTCCATGCAGAGTACAATCTAATATATAATAATAGTCTATATATATATATATATATATATATATATATTATATTTATATATAGTTATCTTAGTCAATGTGTTGTTTTAGATATAATTGTATTATTTAATGAAATAGAAAAATAAATTGGGTTATGCTGTAGATTTCAGAATGTGACTGGTGTTAAAGGTACAGTTTGTCAGAAGTTCAACTGAATTATTCTCTACATCAGGGGTTTTCAAACTCTGAGAGTGTAGGCCTCCCCTCAGACAAAGCTTGGGAAAAGGTTTCACTTCCATTCGCTGAGCCTCCCCTGAAAACCTCTATTCTACAGTATAACAATATATATTTAATTCTAGCCAGTGATGGTTTCAGATTAGATCTGCTGTCATTTAGGATGAAAGAAATGTGTTAACATTTAGAAAAGATGATGGTGAAATTTATGGCTCCAAATCTAACTCTTTCACCACCTTCCCAAAACTCACAAGGGGGAGTACTAACATCATTTCACAGCAGCAGCACTGACAAAGCTGCCTGCAGTGCCTGCATGTGTCCACATACATTTTTTTGTTTATTGGCCTTGTGAGTTCATTGGCCAATGCAGATTATCTGAATATGCCAGATACCCACACAATTAATCGGTCTATCACTAATAGCATAGTAAATATGTTCTTATATAATCATGCAAAAAACAAACAGTCAGACACATAAGTGAGGTTGTGTATAAAAATAGCAAAAAGAAGACAACTTCAAACTTATAATGACTTTTTATATGGCAATGTAAAACAGACAGCCAGTTTTTATCAAATGTAAAATCTGATTTCTTGCAAGGATGTATGGGAGGCTTCAAATAGAACTATCAATACTACTTGAGGTACAAAGACTTTAAGTCCTTGTTTAACTTTAAACAAAAGTGATTTTGAGATGCTTCATAAAAAGACATTTGGCAAAGCCTCCAAAAATCACGATCACAACAGGCGCTACTGTGCACCTATTGTGAAACTAAAATACTTACTCGATTTGGGAGATTACGATTGTTTCAAAGAAATACTTTTGCTAACAGAAATACACAACAGTCACATGAAGGAAAACTTTACAATAAGAAACTGACATTTGTTTTCATTGTTTCCTGTCTATCAAACTGTCAATCTTTTTAACTGATTGCACACTAGAACTACTG